AGGAAAGACTGAGGCATGTAGCCTGGCAGGGCACAGGCCAATTCAGCAAGGAATGTTACAAGCAAAAGACCAACTGGGGACTGGGATCCCACCTGTGTGGTCACTCTGCTTCAGCCCCCACCCGGGAGGCAGTCCCCTGCTCCATCTGTGTGGCCAATGGAGAGGGGCAGCAGCAGGAGATGGGAGGTGGGTACCTCTTCTCCCACCTCAGTGCCCTGGAAGCCACAGCCGCCCCCCTCACCCTTTTCCAGCTCTCATGGGCTCTGGTAGCAAGGCTGTCCCCTCCTTGTGTCCCTCCAGCCCTGGGCTGGTCAGGGCTTACTGCAGTGACTAGTCTCTAGGGGCCTCTCCATCCCGCCCCACCTCTGTGAAGAGTTCCTTTGTGTCATCCCACCACCACCGCCCCATTCGCACCTTCTAGCCAGGACCCCAACTGACTGGCTTCCACCCCTACCCAACGTATACCCGCTTAGGAAAACTCTAAACAGCAAAAAGACCGTAATTTTTATAAAGATCATGATATTTTGGGATAAAAAGCTTTAGTAGCAGATCCTACCTGTCCCTCCCACCGATCCTGCTCCTCAGCCTGGCTCTGACTTAGTCACAGAAGCCAGAGAAATTTCTGCCCCAGAAGTCTGCTCACATCTTCTCCTGCTGACAATCCTCTAAGGCTCCCTAATGCCCCAGTACAAGGTCCCACCATTGCCACAGCCTAGACCAGGCAGGCACTGGTCCCTGAGCATCTGTCTTCCCAGCCTCCTCAGGGCAGCCAGCATTTTCGCTCCAGTCCCCTGGACTGGCTTTTCCTTTCCTCTAAAGCGCAGTCCTGCCTCTGGGCCTTTGCCCATGCTGTGCAGGTTGCCTGCCATACCTTTCCCTCTGCCCTTCCCTGCATGACTCCTGCTTCTTCCTCAGGTCTCAGCTACAGGTTGTCTTCTCAGTGGGACCTTCCTCAGTTCCCCAATCTGAATTATCCCCCTGCATGAACCCCTGCCTGGCTTAGTCTCTCCAAAAAGACTGAATGTCCTCTTGCCCTCATCACAGGGAACCACAAAGCATTTACTTGTGTAGGGTTATCTGATTTCTCTCCCCGCCCCATGAAAGTTGGTGGCAGGGCACAGTGGCTGGCTTGTGTACTCCGAATCTCCAGGGCCTGGGGATGTGCCTGACACATAATAGGTGCTTAGTAAAACATTGAGTCCATTTAATTTTCAACTCTTGAATCTCTATCCTGATCAAACCTCTACTTACAGCAGCACTTCTCAGGCTTTTGTGGGCACTGAACACACAGACACACAGACACACACACATACACGCACACCCTGGCACTGGGTAAAATGCTAACTCTGAGTCTGTAGAATTGGGAGAGGCCTCAGTGCAGTGATTCTAAACTGCAAGTGACAACCTGTCAACTTGTGAAATCAATTTAGTTGTGTCTAGTTTACTGTGTGTGTGTGTGTGTGTGTGTGTGTGTGTGTGTACGTGCACGCATGTGCCAGGCTGCAACATAAAGTGCATTTCTTACAGTGGATGGTGGGCAAAATGTTTTAACATCCCTATAGCACAGGGTCCCAGCACCCCTCGGAATCAGCCCGCAGGAGTCCCGGCAAGCCTGGGGAATTCTGAGTGTGACTCTGGCGGCCACAAAGCAAGAAAAACGGATACATAAAATGTGCTCTATCCATACAGTGGACTGTTATTCAGACACAAGAAGAAATGAAGTACTGGGATATGCTACACTGCGGATGAGCCTGACATCATTATGCTAAGAAAGAGAAATCAGACTCAAGAAACCTCATGCTGTTTGATTCCATTTATATGAAATATCTAGAATATGTAAATCCATAGAGACACAAAGTAGGTTCACGGTTGCCAGGAGCTGAGGGTGTGTGT